CCCTTCCCTGGGGGCCGTGGTGGTGGGCTCAGCCCCGAGGCAGCGGTGATGGGCACCATCCTCACCATCCACCCGTGGTGGGGGTCTTTGTAGGACGCCATCCGGACCCTCAACACCCTGCAGACCAACGCCAGCTACCTGGAGCAGGTGAAACGGGAACGGGGTGACCCCCAGGCCCAGCTGGAAGCCATGAGGGGCTTTTTGGAGAGGAGCGGGCTGAAGGTGAGGTGAGGGGGGGGGGAATTAGGTGTCCCTTTCCCCTCCCTGGGACCCCCCCCTCCCTCCATCCCGGTAACGGTGCTGCCGCGCTGGGCGCTGACTGCCCCCGGGGGTCTCACGGGGTGGTTGACCTCCTGCAGGTCGAGGACCTGGATCGACTGAACATCATCCACGTCACAGGGACGAAGGGCAAGGTGAGGTGTCGGGGGGGATGACAGGGCGGGGGGGAGACTTGCATCCCGGTGGCCCCGGTTGCCCCCGGTGTTGGTGGGGGGGGTTTAATGCTGCCATCTCCTCCCCAGGGCTCGGCGTGCGCCTTCACCGAGTGCATCCTCCGCAGCTACGGGCTGAAAACGGGCTTTTACAGGTGGGCAGGGGGGGTCAGGAGGGTTTGGGGGGGGCTGGTGGTGCCGTGCCTGACTGTGCCACCCCCCCTGATCTTCACCCCCCCTCCCAGCTCCCCTCACCTGGTGCAGGTGCGCGAGCGGATCCGCATCAATGGGCAACCCATCAGCAAGGAGCTCTTCAGCAAGTACTTCTGGCTTGTCTACAACCGCCTGGAGGAGACCAAGGTGAGGGTGGTGGGGTTGTGGGGGGTGTTCCCTCCCTTGGAGATTTCCCCCCCCCAGGGCTGTGTGCCCTGATGCCAGTTGGGGATGTCCCCTGCTGTCCCCTTACGCCCGCTCTGCCCGGCAGGACCCAGCACACGCCAGCATGCCGGCGTACTTCCGCTTCCTCACCATCATGGCCTTCCATGTCTTCCTGCAGGAGAAGGTATGTAGTGGTGGCCTCTTGCTTGTGATGGGGACGTCAGGTTGGTGGGGACCTTGGGGAGGGGAGGACATGGGATCTGGCCCCCACTTGGGGCAGAAGTTCCATTGGTCAGACTGTTGTGGCTATAACCAGGGGATGTTGTGCCTGGTGGATGGTTGTCTTCCTGCAGGAGAAGGTATGTAGTGGTGGCCTCTTGCTTGTGATGGGGACGTCAGGTTGGTGGGGACCTTGGGGAGGGGAGGACATGGGATCTGGCCCCTACGTGGGGCAGAAGTTCCATGGGTCAGGCTGTTGTGGCTGTAACCAGGGGATGTTGTGCCTGGTGGATGGTCCTCCCTATGGGTGGGACGCGTGTTGGGGGTGGTGGTGACACCCACATCCCCAAATCCATGCTGCTGGTGGCCCTGTGATGGCTCCAGTGTCCCTGTGTCCCCAGGTGGACCTGGCAGTGGTGGAGGTTGGCATTGGCGGCGCCTATGACTGCACTAACATCATCAGGTAGAAGCCAGCGAGGCCCAGCTTGTCCTTTGGGGGTGCCAGGGCCTGGTGTCCCCATGGCGAGGGGACAGCGGGGACACTGCCATGCTGTGTCCCCAGGGCACCGGTGGTGTGTGGGATCTCCTCCCTGGGCATTGACCACACCAGCATCCTGGGGGACACCATGGAGAAGATTGCCTGGCAGAAGGGGGGCATTTTTAAGGTAGGGAGACCTGGACTTCCCCCGTCCCGTGGTTTTGGGGTGTGCTCCCCCATGGCCCTGAGCACCCCCATGGCCCTGAGCTCCCCCATGGCCCTGAGCACCCCCATCCTTCACAGCCCGGCGTGCCAGCGTTCACCGTGGCGCAGCCAGAGAGGCCGCTGGCAGTGTTGAGGGACCGAGCCCAGGAACTAGAGGTGAGTTGGGTGGCGATGGGGTGGACAGGGGGGGTACCCCAGGGCCAGGATGGGGAGCTCAACCTCCTCTCCCCACAGTGTCCCCTCTACCTCTGCCCGGAGCTGGATGCCTTCGAGGGGGACCACCAGGCGCTGGAGCTGGGGCTGGCGGGTGCCCACCAGCGCTCCAACGCCGCCCTGGCCCTGCAGCTGGCACGGGCCTGGCTGCAGCGCCGCGGCTGCGAGGGTAAGACATGGGGCACGGGGATGGGGGGACAGGGGGGTCAGGCCCTGCTGTGGCCCCCCCAGGGTCTCAGTGGGGGCCCCTGTCCCCTCAGGTCTCGGGGAGCTGAAGGAGGTGCCACCAGCCATGGAGCTGGCGGGGAGGCCGGTGCCTCTGGCCCCTGCCTTTCGACCCACTGATGCCATGATCCAAGGTGGGGTATGGTGGTGAGAAGAACCCCCTCCCCATGTCACAGGGCTCAGAGGTGGCCACGCTGGACCCTGGCCAGTGCCACCTGTGGGTCCCGGTGCTGGAGGAGGCTGTGGGGGTCCCAGCCATGCCCTGTGTCACCTCCCTCCCCAGGCCTGCGGGACACGGAGTGGCTTGGCCGGACCCAGGTGCTGCCCCGCGGCCCCGTGACGTGGTACCTGGATGGTGCCCACACCACCAGCAGCATCCAGGCCTGCGTCCGATGGTTCCGCCAGGCTGCCCTCAACCAGGACAAGCCCCACGAGTAAGGAGGGGACACGGCGGGGAGGGGGACACGGACACACAACACGTGGTGGTGGTGGTGCTGGGGGTCCCTATGGGACATGGGCCACCCACCTTTTCTCCCCACAGTGGCTCTGAGGTGCGTGTGCTGCTCTTCAATGCCACGGGAGATCGGGACACGGCGGCGCTGCTCAAGCTGCTGGTGGTGAGGTTTTGGGGAAGGGGAGGGGACATGTTATGGGGGGGGATCTCTGTGGCTGGATGCCTGGGTTGGGACCTGCTTTGCCGCTGCTGCAGAGAGCCGCGAGGTGGAGCTGACGTCCCACGATGTCTGTCTGTCTGTCTGTCTGTCCACCCTGCTGTCCTCAAGGGTTTCACAACCCTGGATGCAGGGGGGGAATCGAATCCCCCCCCCTGCCTGGACCCAAACCCCCATACCCCCACCGGTGTGGGACTGGTCTCGGTGGAAATCCCATGGGTGAGTCCCGGGGACCCCCCCAGTGCTCACCCCCATCTCCCCACAGCCCTGCCACTTCGACTACGCCGTCTTCTGCCCCAACTTCACGGAGCTGTCGGTGGCCAGCAACGCGGGTGAGTGCTGGGGAGCCTGGTTCCCCCCTCAACCTCCCTATCCCCAACCCC